TACGTGTGTAGTGTCTAGGGTTTAGGGTTTAGGGTTTAGGGTTTAGGGTTTGTGTTTCAGGGGCTTCTATAAAGCTGTTTGAGGATTTTCTGCGGCGGGGGCTGCACGACAAAGCAACAAAAATTTTATCATCGATTCAGCATACATCTTTCTCTCACGGCGTAAACCCTAAACCCTAAACCCTAAACCCTAGACGCTAAACCCTAAACCCTAAACGCTTGTGTCGGTTGGAGTATGGGCTCCTTATCCTGTTTTTTTTTTCTCCGCTTCATCGTCTGTAAACCCTAAACCCTGAAAAAGTTTTTTTAGGGTTTAGGGTTTTAAGGGTTTAGGGTTTAGGGTTTGTGTTTTCTAGGGTTTAGGGTTTGTGTTGCGGTGTATGTACAGCTACAAGGAGAAGCTAAAGCTGCTGTTATGCGGCTCTGCTGCAGCAGCAACTCTCCCCGCAGCAGCCTGCAGCAGCAGCTGCAGCAGGCATGCAGCAGCGAGACAGAGACAGAGCAGCAGCAGCAGCAGCAGCAGCTGCTGCTGCTGTCGCCTAGAGAAAAGAAACAAAAAGAAAAAGAAAAACTAAGAAACCTGCAGAGACAGTGGGAGGATATACAAATCGTACGGTGAGTATTACAAACCCTAAACCCTAAACCCTAAACCCTAAACCCTTATAAACCTTATATGAGAGTGCAAACCCTAAACCCTAAACCCTAAATGTAAAGAAAAACCCTAAACCCTAAACCCTAAACCCTAACTCGAAAGGGAACAGTAAGCTTACCAGAGGCACGTTGATTTATCACACAGGTATTAGGGTTTAGGGTTTAGGGTTTAGGGTTTAGGGTTTAGGGTTTAGGGTTTGTGTGTAGAGAGGCGCTGATGAAGTTGTGTGGAGACACCGAAAGGCAGCAAGAGATGATAACGAAGTTTACAGAAAATATTCTTCAGGGTTTTCTCGGCTACTAAACCCTAAACCCTAAACCCTAAACCCTAAACCCTAAACCCTAAACCCTTGGGGGAAAAGGGTTTGGAGGGTGCTGCCTGTAAGGTACAGGTGTTTTCTCTTTTTTTTGGCTTTTATAAACACTGCTGACGCGAGATAACTGGCGTTCTAGGGTTTAGGGTTTAGGGTTTAGGGTTTAGGGTTTAGGGTTTAGGGTTTGGACGCCTCAAGGCGAGGGAGATTCCTTTGTAATATTCTGCTGCTGCTACTGCTGCTACTGCTGTTGCTGCTGCTGCTGCTGCTGCTGCTGCCTTAGCAGCACCTATGCAACAGCAGCTACTAAAACAGCAGCAGCAGCAGCAGCTGCTGCTGCTGCTGCTGCTGCAAGGAGTATACGTCAGCTGTAGATGTAAAGGAGAGAGTTGGTGATGTATTATAAAAAAAAAAAAAAGAGAAAGAGAGAGAAAACTGATGGAGATAGTCTCCTCTTCTTATCTTTGTTTGCATGTTAACCCTAAACCCTAAACCCTAAACCCTAGCATATACACCACACAAGGATGATATATGATGCTGTATGAAGATATCTCTTGTCTCGGTTGCCGCACTGATACCTCTTCTTTACTAAACCCTAAACCCTAAACCCTAGCTCTTGGGAGAGTTTAGCCTGAACGTGGTTTGGGGTTTTTAGGGTTTAGGGTTTTACGGTTTAGGGTTTAGAGTGCAAACCCTTCTCAGTTTCTTCTCGCTGTGTTGCTTGTTCATCCCCTTTGTTTTTTTTTTATTTTTTTATTTATTATTTTTATTACTATTCTTATTTATTATTTATTATTGTGGTGAGGAGTGTTAACGACCTGACGTAAACCCTAAACCCTAAACCCTAAACCCTAGGTTTGGCTGCTGATTAAACCCTAATGTAATACATTATATTATATATTAATTTTGTTAGATAATATTGACACTTGTGTTGTGTATGTTGTGCTGGGTTTATATAAGAGTATAATTCATGTTTATGAATGAGGTGTATATATATAAACTAATACATGCTGTGTTTATAATTTGAGGCCATAAAAATATATATTTAAATATTATTATTATATATTATTATTATT